ATATATATATAAGCATTTTCCATCCCTTTATTAATATTCATAACTTAAAACCATCCTTTAAAGTTAGTGGTTTCATTTTTAACATTTTATTTACAACGGTTGCTGACTTCAAAATTAGCCCTATCAAGTGAACAATAGATTCTCAACCACCTCCTCATTCACCTAAGTATCACCGCACATCTAAATAGACTGTTAAGGTACAAAGTTTACGTCTCAAAAAAAATGTTGGATGATCATTTGCACTTCAATGATTAAATCAACTGCTGGAACGAGAAAAAATGATTGTGAGAGAGGTGGGTGAGAAGGGTTAATCTCAAGTTTTGAACAATTTACCTTGAATAAAAAATGAAGAGGAACAAAAATGAGTCAAGAGGGGGCTAGTGGACCAAGTCCAACTCTCAAAAGAGGATGCTAGTGGACTGGGCCCAAATAGATGAGAAATGGATTTGTGAAGTCTTGATTATGGACTTCTATTTGTATATGAAGAATTAGGTATGTTCGATAGTGATTATGAGAATCATTTTTTTGATCGTTAGAGAGAAAGTGAGTTTAATATGTGACTGAAAAAGTAAAAAACGACGGCTAATTATGTTGAGTAACAGTAAAAAAAATTGAATTTTTGTATAGGAAGACTTAGGGCATGTTCGATAGTGATTATTAAAATTAATTTTTTGATCACTAAATAGAAAATTAGGTCTCTTCTGTGCGTGAAGAAGTCAAAAATGAGGATTGATTATGTTGAGTAGCGGTAAAAAAAAATTTGATTTTTGGGGTAAGAAATCAAAACCAAACAGAGGGCATAAAAATTTGGATGAAACAGCATATACACGTAAAAGTTCCCGTCAGCTCGTATGGAGCAAAAGGTCAAATTGGTTGAGTATTTTTTAAAGTTAAAAATTCATGGTCTTTCTTGACCATTCAAAAGTTGAATTATTTCGACGCCTTCCCTTTCAAGAAGGCAATTGAAAATGACTTAATTTAAAATTGAACATTTAATTATGAGTTGGAAATTAATTCAAAACTGGATCCCTTTCAAGAAGGCTTTGAAAATGACTAAATTTAAAATTGAACATTTAATTGAGTTCGAAATAAATTGATTTCGAACTTATTCACACCAGAGACGGATTTAAGGAGGGGTTGGGTTAGGCTGTAGTCCCCTCCCCCAACTCAAGTCCATAGGTATTTTTCATTTATTTTTTTAAAACTAGTATTTTATGCGTAAATTTTTTTCCCGCGCAGCAGTCCAATTTAAAATTTTGTAGTCCGATCTTGAATCCAATTCTGAATACGTCC